CCCCCAGCCACTACTGTGGCTTTCTCAATCACATCAGCATGTGTAGTGGGTGCAGTCTGGGCTTGAAGTGTTCCACCTAGCAATTTGGAGATTAAATCTAGGTAAGGCTTCTGGTGGAAGGGTGTGACGTAGTGCTGGCAAAGACAGGCAAATACCAGTTTGAAAACTCTTTATTGTCAGATTGTCTAACAGTGTTAATGTGGGTCTGGCAAAGGTGATAGAAAACTCAGTTTTTACCAGAGCAGTGGTTTGAAATACGAACTGTGTTTGGCTGTGAGAAACCTCACTCTGGAGTCTGCAGGTACTCTGAAGGGAAGTCCTGGAGTTTTCTCTGTTGTGACTTTTTAAAATTGAATCTGTTGTTCAATAAATCATAGCATTAGTTTTCTGGGAACTAATGGACCCAAGTAGTTGCTTCTAGACATCTAGAAGTTGGGGAATGCAAGTACTTGGGTAGAAAACTATTAATGCGTTTGTCACTACTCCAGCCTAACTGCAGGAAAGGAGTGAAGGGCAGTGAGAGGTCGAGATGTGCTGTCACTTCTGTGTAGTAAACCACAATTTGAAGCTGTTTTAGTATTTCTGTGCAAACTCTAGGTACATTATGCTGTAATACATAAATGTCTTAAATGTTTTGTCTGTCATGTTGTATCACTTTGTTGACCTTGGACTGCCAATGGCAGATTGTAATGAGTAGAGAGTATTAATGCCCCTTCACAGTGGAGCTGTAAACTGCATGAGATCTAGCTAATTACTTTTGCAGATAAATTGATAACGTTATTTCCTGCTATTTTAATAAGCTAATGTAAATAATATACTTTTGCAGATAAATTGATAACGTTATTTCCTGCTAATGTAAATAATACCAACTTTAAAGAGAGTAAAGCAAGCGGATACATTTTACTGTGCTGGTTACTTTGACAAGTTTAGATTTGATTATGCTTTTAGGCTTTGAGAAGCGGATTGAAAACCTTTTCTACACCTCCCTTTTGGTTTCAAAAGTTGTAGGATAGGTTAGTTTCATAAATAAATTGATAACGTTATTTCCTGCTAATGTAAATAATACCAACTTTAAAGAGAGTAAAGCAAGCGGATACATTTTACTGTGCTGGTTACTTTGACAAGTTTAGATTTGATTATGCTTTTAGGCTTTGAGAAGCGGATTGAAAACCTTTTCTACACCTCCCTTTTGGTTTCAAAAGTTGTAGGATAGGTTAGTTTCATAACCCTCCTGTATGAAATTATTTGGCTCAGTTAAGTGAAAACTTCCTTTGAAAAGTTTATAGCTGGCTACCTAGGTAAATAATAAGTACAGTAAACCAACTTACATATTGTGATTTATTAGCAGCTGAAGAATAGACCAGATTTAGCAGAATTTTTTTATGTGATGAGCAAGGACAGTTAATCCTTTGATCCATAGTTATAGTGGATTAATTGATTCTAGTTACTAGACTAATGACAGTATTTCCTCCTGCCTAATTTGCCATTTTATAGTAGCATGCTCTGCTTTAAACTTGTTAGGACTATGTTCTCAGTGTGCTGCAGTCAGTTGCATTCTGCTTTCCTCCCTGTCTGCTCAGCAGTGTGTGGTAACAGGTTCCTTGATGTAGTGTGACCCTTGACTCTCAACAGCAATCAGTACTCACTTGTTCTGGATGTGGTTTGCATTTGTTCAGGGAAAATATGGTGCTGATCTCTGTTTTATAGGCAGATGAATAAAATTTAAATAACCTGCCAAGAGAAGAGTGTGTTCAAGCTGTGAATTGAGCTCAGATCATTTAAATCCTGTGTTAGTTTTTATTACATACTTGTTTGTTGTACCTTGGACTTGCTGTGTTGTTATGCTGAAAAAAAAAAGCCCTGATCTGTGAATGTACTTCAGAATGTGAAGAGAAGATGCTTGAGTAAACTCAGAGGAGGGAAGGATTAGACATTGTAGGGTTTTTTCACAGTTACGGTTAGTGACAAGAGTAGGTAAATGTTAAAAATACATTTAAAAGGTTAGTTTGTCTCAAGCTTTGGTAATAAGGTGCTATGTGCTGACAGCTTCCTAACCTATTGCATAGTCAACTTCTCAATTACTTTGTGAACCAGAAGTATTCTTTCTTCTTGAATTGGAAATATCTTGACATTAAAGGGAAGTTTTATCCACTTTCTTTTTTTTTAATGAGTTGTATCTTGGTTTTATAATTTTTCTCTAGTAAAAAACCCAAACCAAACCTCACAGGTGATTTGAATTCTGTCCTTGAAAGAGAAAGAATATGCAAAATTAGTGATTTTATGATGCACAGAGCTGTTTGATTTGTGTTCTACACTAGCAGTAGATTTAATTTTGCTCCTTGCTGGGAGATGAAGAGAACTGTTGAAATCAGTATAAGATTGAAGAGTATTCATATAATACATGTGTAAAGGAAAACATAATGCCCAATATTTTGCCTCCTAGGATTCTAAACTACCATCTGCTATCCGGAATACACTCCTTGAACTTTTTGGACAAATAGAACGTGAATTTGAAAACCTGTATATTGAGAATTTGGAATGTGAGTATCTGTTTTCTTCTGGCAACTTATGAATTGTTTGGATTAATGATGTAGTAGCACTAATTAAAGCACATACCTTGGATATTGTAGTGTAATTAGTGTTGCTTTTTTGTGAGGAGTTTGAGAATCGTTTTGAACTTGTAGCCCAAGATGGAGCTTGCACCTTTTCAGAAAAACCACGTTATTCGTTCTTTAACACAAATAGTCAGAACTGATGTGTGTCATCTTCCTTGGCTCTTGGGCACAGCCAGTGCAGGGTCTGTGTCCTCGTTACTGGAGGCTCTGGTGGATGCTGTGTTAATCTGGCAGTAAGGCTGTTCTGCCTTTGGTGTTTGTGGCTTTGTTGTATATTCACAGGCTTAATTTTAATGTTGTAATATTAGTAAA